GGCCGCTCCCCCGAGGGGCTGCAGGGGAGGGTTGCCTGCCCCCCGCGCTTCCCGGGCCTTGTCCCACCGCCCTCTGCAAGGGGCTCCCTGGTCTGAACCTGCCTCGACGTCTCTTCCCCTCGTTATTCAGCGCGCTGTATATTTCTCTGTGGTTTCTGCTGTTTATTCATTTCTCTGCTTTATGCTTGCCCGCCTTTTCATCTTCAGTTTACTTCATAAGCTCTTGGCTGAGAACTGCTGGTCCTCGGGCAGTGCTGCAATGCCCAGGAGAAAAAGATCAACAAATAACACCAGGCAAAATCGCTGCTGGTGTTTGTCTGGCCTAATAGTTACACAATTGCACTTGGATTGTGCTGGAGGATTTATGGCTGGTTTGCTGTTGGGAAGGGAATGTTGCTGAAACGTGGCAAATGGGTGAACTTTTAACTCCCTGAACATGAAGTTGTTTTGTCTCCCATTTTGTTTTTTGTTGTTTTTTTTTAGGAGGAAAGAGTAATATTAGGAAATGGCAGAAGCAGTTTTTCATCCCCCAAGAAGGAAAAGAAGAGTTTTTGAGTCCTATGTGTCTCCTTTTCCTGTGGATGTAGGTGGGAAGGATTTCAGAATATGCCAGGCTGAAATCCTTAACAACAACGTTCTTGTGAGGAACCCTGAAGATATTGAGCAGCTTTATAACAAGGTGCTGTACCCTCTCTGCACAGGATTTTTAGTGTTTAAAAACTTAGGTACTAAGCACAATACTTGCTAAAATCTGCCTGCCTTTATGCTTTCCTTCCCCTTTAACCTCCAGTAATTCTCCATATCTCGCTCCTCTCCTGAAATCAGGAGAAAACATATATTCTGTATCAAATGTGAAAAGTAATTCATTCTTATCCCAGCATGGGAATTTTGGAATGAGCTCAGTAACAGCTGCAAAGACTTCATGTTTGATAGATTTATTTCTCCTGTCAACATTTTATGCAACCTTGGAAAAGCTTTTGCTTGTTTTTAGAGCTCAGGAGGTTGGATTATTGACGTTTTATAAATGCTTGTAGAATTCTTTTTATCTTCTCAGTGATTTCTTCCTGAGCACAATAAGCTGCATTAAGCCTCTTGTGTCCAAGAACCATTTCACCCCCATTCTTACGCAGTAGCTTTTTCCATCTCTTTGTTTTCTATTATGCATTGGTCACAACATTAATGCAGAGGTGTTTTAACCTGCATCTTCTTTGAAAATTCTGCTTGGAGATGCCAACTGACCAATATTTAGCATGGAGGAAAAAGACCCTCCACTGGTTAAATCTGAATGCAGGTGTTTAACATGGAACTAGTTACCAGCAGCCAAGCAACAAGCTTAACTGCTGCAGAAAACTGTTCTTTCTCAGCTGATCTTGGCAGTCGACGTTTGATGGTTGGAAATAAGTTCATCTTTGTCTGATGACTGATGCTAATATGGATTTTTCCTTTTCTTTGAAGGGCTATTTTGGAAAAGGCATCCTTTCCAGAAGTCGGCCAGTGTACAGCATTTCAGATCCTTCACTGGTTGCTAAGTGGCAAGGTAAATTGTGCCTGTTTGAACTTCCATCACTATTCTCTTCGGCTCTTCCACGTCCATGAAATTATGAGGCAAGGATATGGGAATTTTTTTATCTTGCAGCAAGTTGTATCTGGCCTGCTTCTGGTTGTTTTGTAGAAATAATGTCATTCTGGATTTTATCATACCCCTCTGAAATAATCTTGTTATGGGCTGGAGAAAAATAGTGTGTTTAGGGGGTAAAACAGTGTATTTAGTTGTTCCTCTCGTGTAGGCTGTTGCCTCTGTCCCTCTTCTCATTCTGTGTCCTTCTTGAAGACAAGTGGGACCACAATGGCCCAGAGTGTTGAAAATGGGGTTAATTTCCAGGCTGCAGATGATCTCTGGAATCAAAATCACATGGAAACATTTTTATATGGATGAAACAACATATGATTTCTCTTTATACAGGTGCTGACATAAACATGCCTATAATATCATCCAAAAAGTAAGTTAGTTTACATTAATTTATTCCTTTTTTTTTATGAAACAGATTATTCTATTTTATTTTACTGATTTTCAGATTGTTGGCTGTATAAATGCTGATCACTTCTATTTCTTTCCTATTTAATTTATAAGTCACATCAGAAAAACTAGAAATAGAGTAGGTGAAATTCAGCATGGCTTTTCATGTAAGCTTGCAAGTATTAATTGCTGAGTAGAAGCCAAGATTGAGTGCATGCATAATAATATGGGAAATTAATTAATTAATATATCAAGCATAATAAACTTGTTTCTCAATTGAGAAGAAGAAGGAAAAGTTTCTGGAGAAGGCTGTTTAAAGTAACTTTCCCATTTCCTTACTGAATTATTATGATATGGGCTGAAGCAGCTCTTGAACTTGGATAGGGTGTCATTTGCTTTTTTAAATAGTCTCTATTAACTTTGCTAGTTATAAATTTAGCAAAAGAGAGTGTTGGACCACATTTTGTTTCACTTAAATAGTATATGAACTAACTGTAAGGGTATGAAAGTTAGTTATTCTCTTTGCTTTAATCTCGTGGTAACTCTAAAAAATAACTTCATTTAAATTTTAAAGTGATGCTTCTTCAGTCCTCAACTTTAGGTAAGACAAACAGTAGCAATATTATAATTGCTGGTGCTACAGTTATGACTAGTTGCAGAAACACTTGTAATTATTGTTCTGCTTTGTGAGTGCTTTATGTGCCAGCAGATCCAGCTGAGCAGCAGTGAAGGTGTCACTACATTGGTGCAGAAGGTGCATCATGATCTCTGTCAGCAGAGATCTGTGAGTGCAATTTATATGGTAATTAATTAATAGGATGAAGAGGATTCAATTTTTTATAATAAAGGCTACAGCACTGAATGATGTAATTTTGTTATGCAACTTCAGAGGGACTCACATTTTGTGTTGGGAGATGGAATTTGCATTTCATTGGCTTTGTAGTTTTCCATTACCTGGTCTGTAATGGCTGTGTTAGGGTTTTGATTTGGGAAATACAGAATATTGTCCTAGAGTTGTGCAGGTTTGAGTGAGGGCAGTTCCACCTGTAGCTTTCATGGAAGGAATATTGTCTTCACCTGCATATTAATGTTATCTTCCAAGGAAAAATAATTGAAGGGGCTTTAAAAACTCTATCATAATTGAAAAATACTATAAATATTCACAGCTGTCAGCTCCTAGCTCACTGATGGGATTATTGTGTTTTCTCAGGGAAACAACAAAGGTAGTTTCTGTTCCAGTTTGGTTTGTGAGCTGTCTTGAATCTCCCATTTTTAAGATGCTTGGTTTTAAGGTGTTAAATAAAGGATGTGACACAGTAGAATCTTCATTTATTTTGTTTGCTTACCAGGTACCAGTATCACGTCCAATGGGCTAAAAGTATTTTGCAGGAGCAAGGATTTGATGACTGCTCGGTTACCAAAATTCTAGAAAACTACACTAAACCCCTGGAGCTGCCAGTTTTGGAAGAGGAAGGAGCTGAACAAACCAGTAATAGTTGCAACAGAATGAGCCAAAATGCAGAAAATACAGAACAGTCTTCTACAGAGACTGGAAACGGAGCAGCCCAAAGTCCTGAGAATGAGGAGGAGGGCTATCAGAAAGCCTGTTTGGAAGGAGATTCAGTGGCCAAAAGTGGCTCTAAAGAAGAGGACCAGGGGGAGGCTGGTGAGAAGCAAGGCTTTCTGGTTCCTGGCAGCTGCAGGGCTGAAGGGGGCGCTGGGCAAAGATCGTGTGACACCATCAGGGCACAAGAGTGTGCTCCAGAATACGTTTTGGTGCAAGAGGAGGAAGAAGGTGGCTTGTGTCCTGAAGAAGACTCTGCCCGTGGAGAAGAAAATGTAAGGATAAAGAGTGTCCTAATATTTTAGAAAAAAATACAGAGTCACTCCTGTTTTCAGAACTCAGTATTTTTTTCCAGTTTTAGTAACACAGTCATTTTTTCTTGTAGCTTGTCAAGAAGGAAAAACTAGTGTGTCGAAAAAATCCATTTAGGATTTTTGAATATTTACAACTCAGCTTGGAAGAGGTATGTTTCAAGTACAGTACAAGTGGGTTTATTTTTAATCTGAAAAGTAAACATTCATCTATCTTACTGTGTAATTTAATACCTGTTGCTGAAGTACAGAGTTCTCCTGTGTCTCCTAAGAGGTTGGATTTTCTTAGTCATTAAACTTACTTTAATAACCTGTGATAATTAGATTTTATGGTTGAAAAAACCCAACATAGAATCCAGTTCTATTTGCTTTAGAGGAATAATCCCAGTGACAAAGAGACCAGTGATAGGACTTAAGTACAAAAATACCATGACTATAACATTTATATAAATCCTGCTTTGATTGTGCTGCTTATAAATATATTCACGTTAGTTTTAACATGGTGCCTTCAGAAGGCTGCAGCACATCCAGAGATTTTTTGCAGTGCTGTGTCTGTGGAAATGGAAAGATCATGAAGACAAAGGAAACCTCCAGGCAACTTGTTTGTCTTTATGACATTAGGATTTTTTCTATAAAATTAACTGGAGATTGATTTGAGCCTTTGTTCTTGCATGGAATAGGAACTACAGGAAGAGTCTAGCTATCAGTTAAATTTACTCTGTATTTTTTCCAGGCTTTTTTCTTGGTGTATGCTCTGGGTTGTTTAAGTATTCATTATGGTGAGGTAAGAGATTTGATTTATTTTGGATTACTGGGGGATACCTGTCAGTTTGGATATGTTTTGGTCTGAAGTTGTTACTGTCTCTGGCAGTATTTTATGCTCTTAATTCTGGAGGAGGAAACACCAAACAGAGTAATTAGGAAGTATTTCTTATAAGTAATGATATTTCTGTTTGTGAAATAATGGTCTGAATGTTCTATGTTTACTAAGGCAAATAAAGGTAAGCACAATCTTTCTGTAAAGAAAGGTTTTTGTTGTAACATAGGTAGGAAATATAGGGAGAATAAGTACCAGAGGAATAAATATGCTGAATACTGTCTCTTTCTGGAAACAGGAAAGGCATTAATCTCTAATGTTTCAGACACTGGAATAGGCTGCCCAGGGAGGTGGTTGAGTCACCATCCCTGGATGTGTTGAAGGGTCGTTTGGATGTGGTGTTGGTGGATCTTCTTTAGGGGAGAACTTTGTAGAGTAGGGATGATGGTTGGACTGGGTGATCCCAAGGGGCTTTGCCAACCTGAATGGTTCTATGATTCTATAAGTATATCAAGCTACTGTTAATGTAATGACAAAATAATTGGAACCTATGCTTCTAGTTTAAGATTGATCAGCTTTTCCTTTAAACAAGGGCATTATGGAACTGATGGTGAAATGCTAAAAAACCCCATCAAATGGAGCAACAGGTTTCTGCCCTATAGGTAGGGATTCCATAGTTTATTGCCTGAAGTCCATGCTCTTTGCAGCAGACTCTGGCATTTGATCCATTTGCTAGATGCTTATATTCTGTAGCTGCTGCAGCATGAACATAGTCATGTTAGTGCCTTTGGTTGTGATTTGCAGGAGCCCCTCACGATTGTGAAGCTCTGGGAGTTTTTCAGTGAAGTGAAGCCCAACTTCAAGACCACTTACATGGCCTATCACCACTTCCGCAGCAAGGGCTGGGTGCCCAAGGTGGGGCTGAAGTATGGATCTGACCTCTGTGAGTAGAGAGACACAACCATTGGCCACTGACTTCTTCTTGACTAGCAATGAAGTTAGGATGAGTGGAGTGTAACACCCCATGTCCAGGAGTTGAGGAGGCACCTTGTTTTGCTTTGTGAGGTTAATAATGAATACAGGATTGCACTGAAAGTCCCTTCCCAAGTTTCTCTACCCACTCTCAGCACATCTTGGGCAGTGTTAGCATCACAGTCTCTGGAACAGCTGGTTTACATCTAGATCCAAATTCACATCTTGTTATTCATCATCCCATTTACTGGAAGCTGGGCTTCTGCTGAACTGGCTGTTTCTCTGTATGGTTTGTTTTTCTTTGAGGGGGGAAGAAGGGGAAAAGGACTTGCTTGTTAGTTAATGGTGGGTTTTTTAATCTTACAGAATAATTAGTAGTCTCTGTAATCCCTTGCTAAGTAATTCAAGAACTACATTCAGCTCACATAAACAGTACAGTAATGCCTGTCCTTACAGGAAAATGTGCATGAAGGGAGATGTTTTTAATGGATGGACACAAACCAGCAGGTGTTTTAATGCTGCTGACACAGTTTTCTAATTTGGGGGTTTGTGTATTTGAGTCTGTTGAAGTTGTGCTGAAGTAGTCCTTTAGATCTGTGTGTAGGTTTGGCTGAATTCATCATCACTGTTCTTAGTGTCCTCGGTTGTAGATGGGATTTTACTGTTGGCCACCTGATGTGTATGTGAAATTGATACTAGTTTCACTGTTCCTATGTGTTCTGCCCTGACTTTGTTGTTTAGCATCTCACTGCCTCTGGATGTGTGCCAGACAAAGGAAGTGGATTAGTTTAAGGGTAGTAGTTCTCCAGTACTCCAGTGGCTCAACTCCTGTTGTGAATACAGTGTTAAAACCTTGAACCTGTTACAGAAAAATTCCACCCTACACTTCTTCCCCCAGCAACTGCTAAGTGTCCTTTGGCTGCTCTGCTCTTCTTTATTTTTTGCCTGCCACCCCCCTGCCCTGGGTCAACCAGTGGCTTTTTGTCTCTTCCCTCTCTCTCTTCCATCTCTCTCCACTTGCTGGGACAACTTAACTCTGAGAAGAATTAAAAAGTGTTAAACTTTTGTCTTGTGTGATTAAAACTGAGAAAACATTGGAAAAAACATTTATGGACACAGGTATTAAACTCAGATGGAAACTCTGTGATGATCTAACTGAGGTGCTTCTCTTTCCTTTCAGTGCTGTATCGAAAAGGCCCCCCCTTCTATCATGCAAGGTTTGAAGCTCATGTTTCTGTCTAATTTCTTAGTTTCAAATCAATAAAATTCTCCCACACAAGTTTAATATCTTCACTGGGTAAGCACAGAATTCTTCACACCAAATACTTTGCCAGATGTGTTCACACTGGCAATGCCAAAGTCCTTTTAGCAGAGGTACTAATCAGCACAATTTCATTGAATTCATGTGACAGTAGCAACACATTAACAGTTGCCATGAGCATATTTAGCAGGCATGAGGAACACACTCGGGAAAGTAATTTGATTTAGTAATCCTGAGTTTTAAAAATATGGATGGATAATTTGCCTAATTTGGGAGAAATTTTAAGGGATTATAGTTGGTTTTATTCATTAGCTTCTCAGTCTGAACTTGGAGATAATAAATTGGCTATAAATACCTGGGGAGAGGGAAAGTGCCCCAGGCATATTCACAGCATCATCTTTCCTCCTCTTTGTTTAGCAGAAAGAGACTTAAGTTTCACAACTTACTGCATGCTGGCATATTGTTTAATGCCATAATGCCAGTTTTTACGTTCTAATTCTCAAGTTTCCTGATCTTCCTAAAATGGCAATTTTCTTTCTGTGGATTGTCCTGTCTGCTTTGTTTTCCAGTTACTCTGTCCTTGCTGAAATGGTTGATGATAATTTTGAAGGTTCTCTTCGCAGACCACTCAACTGGAAGTCCTTGTCTGGCTTGAACAGAACAACTGCTAGTGCTTCTAAGGTAAGTGTAAAATACTAGATCTAAAATAGCTCTAAAATGATAAATGTTCTGTTTAGTTCCAAAGAACAGGGAGTTGGAGTGAGGCTGGAAAGAGAATCCTTCTGGTTCTGGTCTGCTGAAGAACAGGTAGAGCTGTCAGTAAGCAAACAAGTTTCTTTTGTCAATATCCAGGTGAATTCTGGAAGAAGTTTATTAAAGTTCTGATGCTTGTAGGAATGTTAAAAGTAGTGTGAGGAACAGAAGAAAGACCCAAGGGACACTTCTGCTTTCGTAAGATGAAATATGCATATTATACAGCTCTCCCCAGCTTGGTTTGCAGAAGTCATCTTGTAGGAGACTTGGTATCTGCATTTGTAATTAATCTAAAACTTGTATAGAAAGAAATCAGTTGAAATGAATGTTTTCTGTTTACCAACAGGAACTTATGTTTTGCTATTTGATTAGACCCTCTGACATGACTGAAGAAGAGATGTCAACACCAGAATGCATGAAAAGAATTAAGGTTCAGGTGAGTAATGACTTCTGTGCCTGTGGAGCTTTGTCCTGGGGCAGCAGCACAGCTGTGGAGCCCTCTGGACCTGTTGCTTGCACTTCAGCATGCTTTGGTTTTTGCATGCATAGCTACAATAAAATAAACTAGATGCCTGTGTGCCCCAAGGCATGAGAAGTGCATTACAAGCTGTTTAAAGACTTAAGATCATCTGAATGTTGCTGCTACTGTGAGTGTAGGTATTTGTGTGGGCAAACAGGGATACCTATGGAAACTGTAAGGTTAATGTATATTTTAAAACAAATGGAGAAGAATGTGTGAGAGGCCAGCTTGCTTCGGGAACAAATGTAGTCATCTACTGCAATTTCTCAGTGGTCACACAACACATGTCAATCTGCTGAAGGCTTAATCCCTATCCCTCTCTGATTGCCTGTGGTTTGGTTTTTCCATCATGATTGCTGGTTTTTATTTCAGGAACTGATTGTGAGCCGTTGGGTTTCTTCCCGGGAGCGCAGTGACCAAGATGACTTTTAACTGACTGTGTAAGAAGAACTTATTTTTTTACAAACCATATCTTGGTTTTCACCTGATCTTCTCATGATTGCCTCAGAACAGTTTCTGTCAGCATCTTCAGTTGGTATGTACAACTGCTATTTAAAATGAGGTGTATCCTGTTTGCTGGAGAATGTTGTCTTGGAAACGTAACTACAATAATGCATATAAATTAAAGCTGTGTCCCAACTCAAAATACTTGTTTGTTTCCTTAAAGCTTGAATTTATATCTTTGAGTGGTAGCTAGACAACAATGATTGTTCATGGTGTTGGTAATATGATGGCTGCAGGCTGCAGAGCCATTGCTGCCCAAAGCCTGACAGCCAAAGCCATGGGGGATCCCAGTTTTCTGGGAGTCTCTCACAGGTTCTTCAGAGCTGAACTTAGGAATTTTAAGGCTAACTTCACCAGAGCCCTACATTTCTCCAGAAATGAAGACTTAAGCTTGAAAGGCCTCGATTTTACTGCTAGTTTTTAACTAGTTCTAACTAGTTAAAAGCCAGCAGTAATTATAGTGGGTCAAATAACCTTTTGAGATGCCTATGGTACCATTATTCTTCAACCAAAACCTGACTTCCTAGCCTTGATGAGGTAGATCTGGGGAGAGATTTGGTTGTGGCAGTACTGGGTGTCTAATGTGTTGCTGTTAGGTGCCTAGACCTTGGAATCTGGTGTTTTCTATTCACAAGCACTGCTCAGAACTGAGGAGCTCTTGCCAGAATGCACCTGGATTAATTCTGGGGTCTAAGCACCTTTGTCCCCTAAGCTGTCTTTGCCCTGCCCTGTTGTATGTTGTAGGACAGCCTGAGAGGCACCAGCTCCGCCTTGCTGCACTACATGCCTGCTCTCCCCTAACTTACTTCTAAGGTTTAATAATCTGGACTGCAGGTTCCTACTTAGGACATTTGCTATTGCTAAGCCACATTTGGAAAACAAACAAACCCAGCAGGCATTCAGCTGTCTTTCAAGGGGAGCCAGAAGGCTTAAGTGCCAACTACACTGCATTTTAAGTATTGCTGCTTTAAATTCAGGCATTTGAATTCCACCACAGTCTTTGAATAATAGGCTTCCTTGCTTCGCCCTACTGTTAAGATTTTATGATATTTTTTTTCTCCCTCTATGTTGTGAGAGGACACATTTGCTGCCACAGCCAGGATAGCAGGTGACAGTGACACTGTTGGATTTTCTTTGTGCTGTAAAAGGGGGTTTGCCTCCTGGTGGCAGGAAATTCACCAGGGCTGGCAAAAGCTCTTGTCAGTTTGGTCTGCTCCCACCAAACAAACCCACAGTCTTGTTTGCTTAGGCAGTTCAGATTGTAAAGCCAGGTCCTGAGTGCAGGAAACTACACACAGCTTCAAGTGGCAGGTCCTCTAGTCTTTGGTTTTGGTTAATACAACTGCTGCAAAGATGTAAACTGACACTGGTAATTGCACAGGAGCTTTTTCAAGCTGAACAGGAATGTATGTGTTAGCTGTAGGTGGCAAGGCATGTTATTCCTAGCTGCAGGTGACCACTGCATGTGTCAGTAGTTGTATCAAATGCCTTTCATTAGATACTTGTACCATAGTACTGACACTTGCCATTGCATTTGTATTTTACCAGTTACAGCACTTAGATCAGGTGTGAATTCTGATTGACTCAGAATTTGTAAGCCTAGATGAGGAATTCTGACCTGCACTATGAGTGGGAGGGTGGGAGGTCTCTGTCAGCAGCTGAATTGTGCATTTCAAGCTGGGGGGGGGTCTCTGTTGTGTTGTGGGTTTTGAATATGCTTTTAAAGGAGCTGTAACTTAGAATTTAGCAAGGAGTGGAAGACAGTGGAGGGGGCAGTGTGTGCAGTGGTGTGTGCAGCTGGGCACTGCTGGGGGCAGGGGTAAGGCAGCTTGTGCATAGAAAAGTATAAACTAGCTGTGGACAAAACCCCAGCCTTCTCCATCTTTGAGAATAGCAGGACTTATACATTTTGACTGAAACCAGCTTGCTTTACAGAAATGAGTAGAAGGGAAAAAAGCTTAAACTAAAGTGTAAGTAAATAAATTGAAATTGCACAAAATTATGGACTGCAGGATTTTGACCTCAGGATATATTGACATGTCATGTGCAATAGGTAAAAGTGCTGTTGCAGGATTCCCTTTAACTTGTATTTCTTTTTGTTAAATTTAAGTTTAAACCTCAAGATAAATCCTGAGGAATCAGCTGCTTATTACAAATACTAACAGATACAGACACTAGAGTATTATATTTTAATACTAAGCATCTGTCCTGGTTTAAGGAATAAATGTGCAAAATGTAAAGAAGAATTGGAAAAGAAATGTATCTGGCAAGGAGGCTGGATTAATTTGTAGGCATGTTATTTGTAATAAAAGAAAAATAATTTTGCATGTCATGAATCTGCATTAGATCACGGACTCTGGATTTCAGCAGCACACCAGTGCAAACTCCCTTGTTTTCACCCATCAGTAAACAAATGGGACAAGAAAAACCTTTTTGGTTTGCTACAACTTAAGCTACCACAGCTCATTTCTTAAAACCCTTAATTACACAGCAGTTATGATTTCTTGTATGTCTTAGAACAGAGCATACAATGTCAATAGAACACTTTTCCATACGAGTAGCTCCCACACCAGTTTTCTGTAGTGTGTACATTGCGTGCATGTTGCTCCACTCAAATGCACAAGTTCATATTCCTTATCCTTCCATCATGTGCAAGTTAACATGTTAACTGTGTTTTTAAATCCATTAGTAGATCATGCACCTCAAACCCTGAGATTTGGAGCTTTAAGGCTTCCTCTTCCTATTGCCCGATGCAAATGTTTTAATACAGCAACTCATTTTCTGCACTGTTTTCTTGCTCAGGAAGGGGTACAATGTAGAACTCGTTTGCTGTCAGCTCCTGATGCAGAGTAATGTATTTGGAAGCTCTCCTTGTCTGTGGGATCACGAACTTCTCAGTGAATTCACTCTTGCTGATGTGCTGTTTGCCCTGTGCCGCCCGGATGCTGTTGATGAACGCCAGGGCGTACGTGTAGCAGTTGTGCTCATGCTCTTCATACCTGGGAGAAACACCTCATTAGTCAGAGTTACCACTAAGCCCTAATTACTGTGCATGGAGGAATATTTTACTGAGTGAAGGAAGGAAGCACCTGCTCTGCAAGAAGTCTTCCTTTAATGCTGGTGCTTAAATACATTCTCTCTGTGGATGTTGTACTTTCCAGCCAGGGATACTAGAAACTGAGCATGAAAAACATGAAGGCTGCAGACTTCACAGTAATGAGTCCTTATTTTTTATCCTCCTTTGGCTTTTGCCTTGTTAACCTTTGCTCTCCCATGTATTGTTACTCTTGTTACCTTGAAAGCTCTTCTTCCTGCAGCAGTACTGTTAATTGTGTGCCACCCTGTGTGCTGCTTTCAGCGTGGCACTGACTGGGAAGCTTTCTTCAGATCAAGAGAATCCCATCACTACAGGGGTGATGCAGTTGCTGCCCTGTGCCAGTCACACTCCCAGCAGCAACAATTTGTGCCAGCTCTGCAAGGACAGAAATACTGCCTGCATCACAGCCTGCCTGGGTGACTTTCTGTGTCCACAACCTCAATTGGTTCCACCATTAAGCAGATTTTTTCATTTTTGTTTGCAGACTTTATAATGCAAAAGATTCTTTGTCTTCCAGTTAGCATCTCATTTTTGGGAAGCATGTCTAGATCCTGATAAGCAAAGCCAACCACTCAGTAATTGAAGACATTGTTGGTCATGGCTGTGGGCAGTGTTCTTTGCTGCTGTTACATACCATCCTTCCAAAAAATGAGAAGCAATCAAGAGAATTAGGCTTGGCCTAAACCCAAACAAGTTACAGGATTAGTTTAGCACAGTTCCTGTCCATTGAAAAAATAGAGAAGTTAATTTAACATCTGGGGGGAAAAAAACCAACAAAAAGTTCTCTTTTCAGCAGTGTAGTGGTCCCTGATCTGTTTGTGGAAAACACAGGTCACTTGTCAGGAGGTGGCAGAGTGAGGAAAGCCAAAGAAAAGCTTGTAGTAGAGATGCACACACCTGCCCACCTGCCAGCAGTGCTTTTCTGGCATCTAGTTAATTGTAGGAATATGTAAAAGTATCAAGAGACACAAATCCTGTTGGCTTTACAAGTTTCATAGACATCTAAAAATTTTACCCTAGGTCAATTTCTTTAATTTCCTGGTTTTGTGGAGATAATACAGCATCTCTGCAGTTTTATAGCCAAACACATTCAGAATTGCTAAAACCTGCTCTTGATTCATTGTGGGTCCATGGTCGTTAACTGAAACACTTCACAGACCTATGTTTGTTCCAGGTGTGTTCCTGAAGGGCTGGTGTTTCCCTGGAGAGCAGGCTGCTGTCACCAGCCAGCTTGGTGATCTGTGTTTTAGCTGGGGTATAACTTGTAACACTATCATCATCAGCTTCAAGGAAAGCTGCAAAGAACTGAACGTTCTCATGAGAACAGACTGGTTTAATTCCCAGTCTGTGGAAGTCTTTCAGTATTTATCTACCCAAATCAGTGCTAGGAACCAGCTGGGAGAGCTGGAGATGAGCCTGACTCTGCTTCCTGTTTCTGACCACTGACAACAAAGAGAAGTCATCTGGATGTTGGATCTGGGCAAGAATCCCACCAGTGTGGTCACCCTCTAAATGCAGATACACCCAAAGCTGTTGAAACCCAGAAGAAATCACCACAGACTGCACCTGGGCTTTTCTCCTTTGCGCTCAGCAGCATACTCTTTAAGGTAATGTTTCATTGAACTGTTTGTTTCACACCACAGATGTTTGTTGCTGAAGAAAACTTCCCTAAAATCTTTTATTTTAGAGCTTTTACATTCCTGCAGATCAATTACTTACAACTTTAAAATGCTCTTTTTCTGTTTAGCAAGGCTGGGAGTTTCAGGACAGCCTGTTTGTTAGAAATGTGTATTTTAAAGGAGCAAGGCTCTGAATGAACCACAAGCCTTGTGGGGTCCTAGACAGAATAGCTCAGTTTATCATCCCAGACTAAAAATTCCTATGGCATCCAGCTTTTAAACAACATACCTGTGAGGGAGCCAGGCCTCTCCCACAGAAAATTCCTCTAGGAGCTTATCCCACTGCTGAAGAAGACCAAACATGTCTGGCTGTACCAGTGGGACACTAATGCACTGTTCCCATCCTGTTTCAGATCTGTGGATGCCCTCTTGGTTGTAATTATACACCACACCTGAAAATAAAGAACAGCAGACTGTCAGGTGGCACTGGAGAATTGGATCCTTTTTTTTTTAAATTTTACTTTTCAGGGATGAAAGCTACTACTAGTTTTCCACAGTGCTATTCTCCCTCAGGCTGGATACACCCAAGCTTCCCATCAGCAGGCACCTGTGGCTACAGCTGAAAATGCAGTCCTTGCTTTTATCAATAACCTGGTTTTATTTTTACAGTGTAGTTCCAGGTGCCTTTTGATAACAAAACCAACTTAAGGGGCAACCAGACTTCTTTTTTAAACCCCCCCAATTAGACCACCTTTCTATTAAACACCTGAAGAGAGATTTTGCTGGGTGAGCTTACTCTAGGAGAACCTGATGATTTGGAATGTGGCTTTTAACATTTTGTTTGTTTAGTTTTGAATTAGGAGTATGTTTAGAATTAGCAAAAAAGGTCTGTAACTTGAGAAGTAGGCTGCCTAGCTTTTTATTTCCCTGTGTCAGAATAGATGTCACCTGTCAGTTCTGTTCTGTGCCAAGTGAAGAGGTTCACATGGCTTTGGTGTGCAGCTCTCTGCTCACTGCTACAACGTGAGATCACTTCTTGGGACTCTTGACTTTTTTTTATCTTTATGGGACAGTCTTTTACAGTGAACAGCTCAGCTCCCAGCTCCAACACCTGCAGCAGGCTGAGGAAGTACCCACAGAATCATCCTGGTTGGAAGGGACCTTGAAGATCATCAGGTCCCATCCTTCAACAGCAAAGCATCAGGTGTTTGGATGTTATTCCAAGAGCAGAAGATGCTCTGAGGGGCCTGTGGTGCCACTGGGATTGTCTCAGGTGGAGGGCACAAAGCTGAGCTGGGCAGCAGGCTGGACACAGGGCCCGGGGGATGGGCAGGGCTTGGGAAGCAGCTACAAAACACGTTTTTACCGTTACTGTTGGATATTCCAACGTGAAGATCAGATTTCCCGTCGTATCCTCTGGAAGAAAAACAGGGGTAGTGAAGGAACCGGCTTGAGCGCTGGTCTCGGCAGTGCCGGGTTAATGGTTGGACTCGAGGATCTTAAAAACGTCTTTTCCAAC